TAATCCTACCGAATTCGACACATCCACACTGGATCAATGATGCACTGTTTGGCTGTAGAGGCTAGAATTTATAAACTTTCATAGCTAGAACACTATTTAGGGAGTACGGAGCCGTTTGGGATTCAGCCTGGGTTTGACGCGACTTCTGACTGAAACACGGAGATTTAAAGTGTGTAAAACATTCAAGTGACATTTTTAGACTTTTATACTGCAGTTTTACAGTTAATCAGACTGTAAGTGCTTTAATTCAAGCCTGTGATATTAATGATGGGCTGTTTAGGCTGTTGGCTCTTTCAGCCTGTTAGCTAGCTGACCAGCCCAGTTCTAGTCAAGAACATAAGTTGTCAGCCCCTCAGTTTAAACAAAAAATGGGTTCTTACTTCATCACTATACTCAGTGGTCCATGTGAGCAACATCAGAGTCGAAGATTATTCATTAACAGCACAAAGTTTTTTCGTGCTGTGGTGCAGTGATACAGAGGTCAGTCACTGTGAGGTGGTCATAGGTGTGCGTATATCAGGGATTTTACAACGTCTTCAAACACAGCTCAGCCAATCAGTTTTAGGACTGGAAATATCCGTTTTATAATCATCAATAACCTTCGATGTGCAGATGATACAACCCTCATAGTAGAAAACCTGGAAGACCTGGAGACCTGAACAGAGACAAAAGATGGAACTGCAGATTAATATGAAGAAGACTGAGGTTATGACAACAGGGAAGATGCTAACTTTACCACTGATGGAGAAGATGTAACTAAAACCCCTAAATTCACACTTCTGAAAATATTATTTACATTTTTTTCAGTGCTTTTCAGGTGTAGATTTACATGCATTTTAAATCAATTTAATATTTATTTATATAGCAATTTTTACAACGGGCATTCTCGCAAAAGGTACCATAGAAGAACTACATTTGGTTCCCTATAGCTAGACCCTTTTTTATTTGACCGCTGTGTGAAAGCAGGAGATGATCCCCACCGGACGTGGTGTATCCTCCAGCCCCTGCTGGTCACCTCAGCAGCGCTGTGACAGACACACACTCCAGCAGAATGAATAAATAAACAAACAAGCAGCTTGACGCCACAGTGGCCTGGACATCTGTGTCTGCCTCAATTTGAATTAGCAAGAAATCCCATTTCAGGCCCCGGCAGCTCGGTGTCAGGAGCACTGAGCTGGGAGTCGGCTGTGGATGACAGTCGCCGGTGGGAGGCAGGAATGAGAGTGGGGGGGTGCTTTACAGGACACCGTGTCTCTCTGAATATAATATACTGCTTCATTCATCTGAGCCACTGACATGTGGCACTGCTAAAGCAGCTACACCGGCTCTCTGTCTGTCCTTCACAATCAACAATACTCATTGTATTGTGCATGCTAGCTCAAACTGCACTGCTGTGTAAACAAGGTGTTTTAAATCAGGGGTCTGAAATTTCAAGCAGCATATACACCGATCAGGCATAACATTCTGACCGCCTCCTTGTTTCTACGCTCATTGTCCATTTTATCAGCTCCACTTACTATATAGGTGCACTTTGTAGTTCTACAGTTACAGACTGTAGTCCATCTGTTTCTCTGATACTTTGTTAGCCCCCTTTTACCCTGTTCTTCAGTGGTCAGGACCCCCATGGACCCTCACAGAGCAGGTACTATTTGGGTGGTGGATCATTCTCAGCACTGCAGCAACAATGACGTGGTGGTGGTGTGTTAGTGTGTGTTGCGCTGGTACAAGTGGATCAGACACAGCAGTGCTATCCAGATACCTTGAGCTATCCATTTAATAATAGTCTGTCTATCTTAACGAGCTTTTATTCTGAATGAAAATTATCAACCAGCTTCTAAGACTGAACTTTGGAGGTGTGTCTGCAGATTCTTTGAGGAACTGAAAGCAAATCAAGCTGTAAAAGGTGGACACACAAATTCAGGGGGTCAGTTGTGGGACCCCACTCTATGCATAGTCTAGCGTTTTTCATCTTCAACTATTACCTAATTAACAAGCTCTTCATGTGATTGGTCAGGAGCATTAGAGTCGGGAAAATATGAAGATGTTCAGAGCACAAAGTCACCAAGAATAAACACTGAAACAATGAATAACGTGCATTTCATAGCTGCTGTCTATATAGATAGATAGACAGACAGACAGATAGATAAACAGATAGATAGACAGATAGATAGACAGACATATAGACATATAGATAGACAGATAGATAGATAGATAGATAGATAGACGGAAATAGAGAGACAGACAGACAGACAGATAGATAGATAGATAGATAGATAGATAGATAGACGGAAATAGAGAGACAGACAGACAGACAGACAGACAGATAGATAGATAGATAGATAGACAGACCAACAGACAGACAGATAGACAGATTGTTCCTCTTCCTCTTTGTACTTAAAGAAACAGCAACACACACAGAGTGTTCTTACCTGCAGAGTGTTCAGGAGGACCTCGAGTCCACTGGAGCTCGGAGCAGCCATACTGGCCCTGGATCGAGCAGCTGGATAGAGGGAGAGAGAGAGAGAGAGAGAGAGAGAGTGAGAGAGTGAGAGAGAGAGAGAGAGAGAGAGAGGTGTATGTTGAATGTAAAGCTGAGTTTCTGTAGGTTCCCTCTGTTCTCTCACAGACAGAGTGGTGGTCTGAGTGAGACTCAGACTGAGGGGCTTAAGCTCAGAGCTACTGAAACTCAATCCCACACACACACACACACACACACACACACACACACACACACACACACACACTGTACCCCCTGTGTCCCCTTTAGCGCCGCACTGCCCTCCTATTAAAAGGGTCTGACGAGACGAGGGATTAAACAAGAGAGGCAGAGCAATATTATAGGGGTGTGTATGTGTGTGTGTGATGTGTGTGTGTGTGTGTGAGTGTGTGTGTATGCATGTGTGTGTATGTGTGTGTGGGTGTGTGTTTCTTCATTATTTACAGAAGTTGAAGATGCAGCTGTTCTTTACAATGTCTACAATTTCCTGAGGATCGACCAATAGAACCGCTCCAAAACGACTTCAGATGAAATATTATTCCATTCAGTTCCATTCAATATTAGGAATGTTCTTCATTCTCCTGTAAGGTTCCCACGTTGGAAATACGAGCAGTGATGAATGTGTGTGTGTGTGTATGTGTGTGTGTGTGTGTGTGTATGTGTGTGTGTGGTAACTTTACAGGAGAATGAAAAATAACTTTGAATATAATGGCGAAATGGTTCTCCAGAGGTTCTCCAGAGTGCACTTTAATTATGCTCATCCACTGTCCACTACGGCCCAGAGGAGCACAAGCTCTCAGTGGTTCTTCTTCATGATCGTAGGGAGGTTCTCCTGCTGTGTCTCGGTTCCTCTGGCTCTTTAAGCTCTTTAAGTCTCGTGTCATTGCCGACCACAGATGATGTTGAAAAACATTATGGATGGACGGACAGACGGGATGATAGTTGAATAGATTGGTGGCCAGAGAGACGGGTACACTCAAAAAAAAGATGGTTCTTCAAGGGTTCTTTAGTAAAGATAATGGTTCTTTGTAGAACCATGCACACTGAGAAACATTTGCATGCATATATGATTCTCTGCATAGTGAAAGAGTTCTTCAGATTGATGGAGAATGTGTTGTATATGGTTCTACATAGCACCTAAAGGGTTCTGCTATTGGTTCAGTGCCCTTTGGTGCTATATAGAATCACTGTCTAAACCCTTGGAGAACCATCTTTTTTAATAATGTAAAATATTCATAAAATGTGACAGAAACCTGGCATTTTCAGGAAAAATAGAACTAAAAATGATAAAAATGGAGATATGATGATTTGTTCTGACTGTGATGTGTGTGTGTGTGTGTGTGTGTGTGTGTGTGTGTGTGGGTGTGTGTGTGGGAAGTGAATGTGAAACATTATCCAACCTGCCAATCAAAAAACAGACAGAAAGTAAACAGAGAGGGCTGATGTGTGTTCAGCGTCCACAGCTGAGAATTCTGTCACATTACAGCATCTCGAACCGCAAACACGTTAACCCTTACAGGACTGGGTTACTGACGTTTTACTGAAGCTTTTAAATCAAATCATGCACCTAAAAAAACTTGACAGAGAACCTATGAGACGGTTCTAGCTTTACATCACTTCCCACTGGATTAATCAGAATATTTCTGAAAGATGTTCTAAGCTCTAAGCTTCTTTGTTGTAAGTTCTCATAAAATCTCATTAGCTCTGTCATTCTCTCTTCATCTCGACCAGAGGAGAGGATGGGTTCCTCCCTTGAGCCTGGGTTCCTCTCGAGGGTTCTTCCTCTTACTCCTAGGGAGTTTTCCTTGCCACTGTTGCCTCTGGCTCGCTCATGGGGGGCTTGGACCCAGATTCAGTTCCTTACGTCTCTACATTCCTTTGATCCTTCCCAAACTGCTTTTCTGTAAAGCAGCTTTGAGACAACACTAGTTGTAAAAAGCGCTATACAATAAATGTTGCTGTTGTTGTAAAACTCTACATCATCACTGTCGGAACACAAACTCAGGTCTCCAAAAAAGCAACTTCACAGCAGAAGAAATATACATTCTTTACTTCTAATGTTGGCTAATTATTTTTACAATACTTTATAATTAAAGTAGTCATTTTGCTCTGATCCTATTGGACCATTCGCCATGACATAACACAACGTCAGTGGCAGCTGGCATTTTCAAATTATGCTAAAAAATGAAAAATGAAAAAAGCAGATACAAGGTTTTATTCTGACAGTGCCGATATATAAATATACAGAGGTGTAAAAAAGTTTGGACACCCCTAGTCAGATTATGTTTAGAGAAAAAAAAACGTTAAAACGTCCTCTACAGAGATTCACGTCACTGTGGCATTTCCTGCACATTTTAGCGCAAAATGCAGATTTATTTGCGTAGTTTAACAAACTGATAAAAATAAAACGTGCCGTAACTCCTGCACAGGCCACGCTGAACAGGGTCAGATTATTTTTAATCATGTGTTTTAAGCTGAAGCTCGTGTTCAGACGACACTCAGGTGGATCTGATCTGCTCATTTTACACAGACTACAAAAGCACAAGCCATTAAAGCAAAAGGTGCACCAAATACACCAAATACAAAGAAATTCTGAGATTTCAAAGATCATACTTTTCATCATGTCATGTGATTATGGCCACCATGACCCATAAGGATAAGCGGTTTAGATGATGTATGTATGTATGTATGTATGTGGTTATGGCTGCTCCGGGCAAGTGTGCTCACTGCCCCCTAGTGCGTGTGTGTTCACTAGTGTGTATGTGGTGTTTCACCGCACAGATGGGTTAAAATGCGGAGGTGAAATTTCCCCGTTGTGGGACTAATAAGGGTCACTTAATCTTAAATTGTAATAGTATGCAAGACACAAGGGGTCTCAGACTTTTGGATCTTATAGTACACACTGTTTTTTCCATCAGCAGCGATATGTATATATATATATATATATATATATATGTCTCCTGCATGCACTGTCCAGTGTAATTTCTTGATTATAACACTTTAAAAAGCTGTATTTGAACAAGCAACATACAGTGTGCTGCAGCTGGGTAGCTACAAATAGGCCAAACTACGAAAATGCATTAATTAATTGAATTAATGCCATTAAAAAATAATAAAAATTTATCACAGAAACTTATTACAGTCCTAGAAATTAACAAATTGCACTCACACATCACTGCTATTGGAACAAAATCTCCAAATCATACGAAACTTCACAGGAGAAGGAAAAAAAAACACTTTTCATTGTTGATGTAATTATTTTATAAACAGAACTAGATTTTTTATTCAACCATTTTTAGATATTATCTATTGCTCCACTCATCATGATATTGTGGACCGTTGTAAACAGCAGCTGTAAAAAAAAAGCGAAAAAGGACAAAAATAGAGATTTTCCTTTCGTTCTGACAGCATTTATACATTAACACTGGCCTCTTTACAGCCATGTTAATGACATACACACACAGCAGTGAACAGAGACTCACCTCAGCTCAGTCCTCTGCCCTCATTAGAGCCTTATTGAGGGTGGATATTTAATCTGATCTGAATATGACACAGCCATAATGGGGCACAGCTCAGTATCCGAGCAGATCTCCCTCTACACACTCTCTACACACACGGCGATCGGCTATTTTTACCTGCAGGATTAATGCAGCGATGGAGAGGAGACGACAGCTCAGAGTCTGAATCTCCAGTGATGACAGATCGGAGTTTGAGGATGAGCTCTGAGGTGAACGGACTCACATTATGAACTAGCAGCTTCCCACAAGGACAGTAATGACCCCAACAGAGCTGAGAGCCCAGCAGTGTCTGATTTTCCATCTTACTTTTCAGTGTTCTTCAAAATATCTTCCTTGGGATGAAGAGCAGGTTCAGCCTAAATAATGACTGAACAGTTCTGGTTCTAAACTACTGCTAAAAACTCATATTGACACTCGTTTTGTCTAAGATGGTTTAAATGCATGAGAGATTTGATTGTTGACGTCACAAAAAAGGGAGAAAATTAATTATGACTGAACTCACACAAAAGTGAACTATAGAGGGCAAAAAAAGGTGGTTCTTTAAGGGGTCTTTAGCAAGGAAAACGGTTCTGTATAAAACCATGAACACTCAAAGAACCTTCTGCATTCTGCTTCTTTGCATCATGAAATTGTTCTTCGGATTGATGGTAAATGTGTTACTGATGGATCTATATAGAACCTTTTTGAAAAGGGTTCTAAACAGCACCCAAAAGGAATCTTCTATTGTTATGAGCTTGACATTATAATAAGAGAAGAACCCTTTCGGGGACTACATAGAACCATTCACCATGCACAGAACCCTTTAACCATGCAAAAGGTTTTTTGAGTGTTCATGGTTTTATAGAAGCATTTTCTTTGCTAAGGAACCCTCAAAGAACCATTTAAAGAAACATTTCCATGCTTAAAAGGTTATTTTAAAGGTGGAAAAGTTCTTCAGATTTATGGAGAATGTGTTGTATATCGTTCTAAATAGAACCTTTTTTGAAAAGGCTTCTAAATAGCACCTAAAATGGTTCTTCTATTGTTACAAGCTTCACAACATAACAGTAGAGGAACACTTTGGGTGATATATAGAACCATTTTCAAAAAGGCTCTATACAGAACCATCCAAAGCACATTCTCCATCAGTCTGAGGAACCATTTTACTATGCAAAGAACCCTTTAACCATGCAAAGCGTTCTTTGGGTGTTCATGGTTTTATATAGAACCATTTTCTTTGCTAGAGAACCATTGAAAAACAATCTTTTTAAAGAGTGTAATAAAGACAGTGGTTCTATATAGAACTATGAACACTCAAAGAACCGGGTTCTTTGCATGGTGAAATGGTTCTTCAGATTTATGGGGAATGTGCTGTATATGGCTCTATATAGAACCTTTTTGAACCTCCAGTGAAAAGAGCATCACACTCTCAGAAATCACGGTACTAAACTGTCACTGGGTCAGTCCCCCTCTCGTCACTGGGGTGGATCCCTCAAGGCTCCATCT